CCACCAACGTAGCAGACTAGGGGCTGAGGAGGAAGCTCGCTGGTGTTCCAGCAAGAAAAAAAATGAAAGTAAATCACATATTGGTATCCTGCTGTCACCCCTAAATAACTTCAGCACTAAAGTTTGTCAGAATGATGCCTGACTTTTAAACTGACTATGGAGTCTCCGAAACAGATATCTAATGCCCCGATTCATATCCACAAAGGTTAGAAGTCTTTCTGTAATTGACGACTCAGGTGTCATTCCTTAGCGCACAGAACCGTTGTAAAGACTTTGTCAGTGTACCGCGGCAGGTTATGTGACACATTACAAGTCAAAATTCTCTCCAAGGATGTAACTCATGCATCCATCCAACTTGTTAAATACAATTCTAATAAATGTGTCACGGAGGAGAAAGAAATCACTGCTTCAGATGATATTAATGTAATTTCAGTTGAGCACCCAGGCTGTTTCTGCACACCATTTGCATGTCATATTGTATTCACTGGGGTGTTGTGACCTTGATCGAGGCCAACAGCACACGCAGCAGCACAGCAAAGAAGGAAGTTTAAGAGGGTGCCTTCCAAAGATAAGGAGCAAGCTTTGTCTTTAAAGTGGGTCTATTGTTCAAATTGGAGCTCCTTCTTCAAACACAAACGTTTAAGCCAAGCAAGCCGGATGCTTTTGCAAATATTTCTCTCTGTGTAGAAATATAATCATTATTATTTGTCTGTGCCAACATCGTGGAAAGAAATATAGTTTCCACTGGCACTGACGGCTTCTACATTTCACTCAAATGAAGCCTCTTGGTGAGATTATGTTCTCGGCTCCACAATATTTGCATTCCCGATCAAAGTAATGTCATAAATTCGTGTATCGTTTTTCTGGTGTCGTGTGTTTTTCGTCTGATGCATCTCGTCTTGACAGAAAACAAAACCCAAACAAAGGGTCGGAGAGAATGAAGGATGAATCTCTCACCTTGGCTGAGGACCACCGACTCCCCCACTAACCTTTTCTTCGCTGAACAGACTTCACAAACCAACCATGGAGAGATGGAAAAACAAAAGCACCCCTATAGAGCCTTGACTGAGAGACAGATAAAGAAGTTATGCATTCCAGTGTGAATAATGAACATGACACTATGCACAAAAATGCAGGGACATTCAGATCATCTTAAATCATTTCAAAACAACAAAATCCACACTTCAGCCCCCCCCCCCCCCCACCCCCACCTACTAACATTACAGAGGTCATAGCTTTTCACAATATATGCCACAAAGTAGATCTAATACTTAGAGTATATATTCGGTGGTGATTATAGTGTGGGGTTGCAATATGAGATGGAACAAACACTTCTCCACAGGAGCACTGAAAATACCGCAACAACAAAAAAAATAACTTTTTTGTTACACTCCTGTGAAAACATCTGTCTACAATACATCGGCAACGGACACGTTCTTCCGTGTGTCGTTAAAATACGCAAACCACTTTCTAGCACTCAGACAAGAGATTAAAGGTAGTTACCCAAAAAGCCTGTGCATTTACGAGAATCACACAAAGTCAGCTTCAACAATAAAGGATGGATGTGGTTTTTTTTGTATGTGGTGATTGAAAAAAAGAAGAAGTGAAAGTGATATATGAATAGAGGTATCATTATGCCGACTTGCAGTGGGGGCCGGGATGAGTTGGAACCGGAGGGCTTGGTGTGTTGACTGAACAGCGCTGCTCATTCTTCTCTTTATCTCTCTGGCATTCTTCTGGCTCATTTCAATAGCCATTCTTCACCGAAGAGCCCCCTTCGCTGCCGTTCACACTTCTTGTGATTTGTATTCTAAGTAGCTCACAGATCTTTTGTATTCCGGGCCGATAGCAATCTGAATCTTCACGCTGACGGTGGAGGCTGCTGATATCCTGCTGAAGCCAGAAAGAAAAAGGTCTTATTTATTAGGAGGAATGAAATCTCTTTTGTTGAAATTTTACAAAATGATAAGCCCCATGTACACACAGACTCCGCAGACGATGAAAGCAAAAGCAGTGCACTGATTATATACCTGAAAAGCTACAAGGCAGGGCACAAATGCTGCACTGGAAATTGTGATCCTTTTGCCCTTTTTTTAAATGTATGAACGTTGCAATCAGCTAAACCATAATGCCAGAAAAAAGATAAAACATTCAAAACGTTTGTGTCGCCCATCAAAACGTCAGTATTTTGATGAATCTGGGCTGTATATTGAAATCTCTAAACATTCACCTAGTTTAAACTCATGCACCCGTTTGGCCTTGTGAATGCTTCATTGTTGGCCGTATTGAGTTATTTGCAAATAAGTTGAGTTTTAAATATGTGAGACATTTCACTTTCAAGTGTGTGTTTCGTGTAAGGGCGGCAAAGTGATCGAATACCATGCAACTGTCTCTGGGAATTTGAGTAACATTTGTAGTTATTAAAAAACGTATGAACGCTTCAGAAGAAGTGTTTCTAGTGAGTCAGTGGAATCCCCCTTTGTAGTGAAAGGGAATGTTTAAAATGAAATTCTGTCATTCAGCACACAGATGGAATCCATGGAGTTCTGCTTGCAGGCAGATAACAGAGAAAACTGTCTGCGTCTGAATGACGTTGATAAGAGCATCATACCAATACAGTGGCCTTTCTCTGAGCTGCAGATTCCCCCTCTTCCTCTCCTCGGGACTCCAACTGCAGGAGGATCTAAAGACGACACAGGATTAGTCTACAACCAACTGTCTGTGAATGCTGTATTGCCGATTATTAGATTATCCATTCACCAATGTTTCGTTGCTGTATTAAAGTCATAATCACTGAGCTCCGAAATGTTTTGTTTTTTTTCTGCATTTCTTCTACTAGGTGCTCACATCCGTGTGGTGTTTCAACACTGCATTTTCAATAGATTGCTTGTAAATCAAACTGTGCGAGTGTTTCCTTTTCTGCAGATGCTAACGTCTAAAAAAGAAAAATACATTGTTTCCTTCACACTGGGGGAATTTAGTCATACGCGATAAGGAGGAACAGCGAATCTTTCATTAAGTAGTGTCAAACATGTTATCATTGTCATTTGATAATCTGCATTAGAGATGATATTTTCGGCGTACATAATATTAGTCAGTAATTTCCAGCGATACTCAGTACAGTCACAACACAAATGTCTGTGGTTTTCATCCCATCTTTTAATAACAGAAGGGTTTTTTATGATTCAGCTGCATGACTGTAATCTTTTTCCAAACTTCCTAATTTGTATAAGCCCCCTATTGTATAAATTGTAATCACAGCTCACAGCTGATGTTTTGAAACCCAACAGTAAATTGTGGTGAGTTTTGGGGGATTTTAGGCAACGCAGTTTTGAAATGTGCTGCAGCCTACCTTTAACACAGTGGTTTACAGTAGCTTCATCTTAATCATGCCTTAGCTAACCACTGATGTAGGAAAAGCCATTTGAGAAATCTTTACAGTACTGATATGCACAACATGATAAATCTGATAAATAGAGGAAACAAGCATAATCTGCTAATGCAACACTGTAGATGAATATAAATGCAATTTAGAGAAGAAAAAAATGCTGTTTTTTGTTTTATGGAAATGTGCTGATGTCCTGATGTTTTCAAAATGTTACGTTGTCACGCGGCTCTAAAAATCCCTCTTTCACACGAGGAGGAGACATCAATGGAATCAATGATGCAGATTGACTCATTGCTGTCATATATCAAAGACATAGAAATAGTATTTGCATGCCACATGGAGGAGATTCGGTTTCAGACAACCGTCTGAGAGGAGGTTGGGCGGTTTGGTGTGGCCCGGCCCTGTTATCATACCTTAACTGAAATCAGAGCGGGTTGGGTAAAGCAGTGAGTAAAATGGATGTTCTACACTCTGAGGCTCGATAGCCGTTTGATAGAGATCCCACATTACAGGGTGTGTGGTTATTTTCGAATCCACTGGGGGTCATTTAGCACTTGGCAGCGCAGACATAACAACACTTGAGAAGAGACAGGGTGTGTATAAAGGTGAGGACGGATTCAAACCTCCGCTGATGAAAACTGTCATCAGACACAGTTATAAAGTGATTTGTAGAGAGAAATACGAGGCTGGAAGAAGTCCCTGAATGACCAATCTAAATGTCAGTCCTTGCCTCATGCAAAATGAGGCGGGAGGTGCGATTTATGAGGCTGCTGCTGAGCTGATGATGTACCAGAAAAGCATGTGTAATCCCAAAATTGCTCTAATTTTCCAAGCTCTGGACAGACACCTGAAACGTATACCAATTACTAGTGATCTTATTGAACTTAAGAGCATTTTGTATCTGCTGTGGTAACATTGCAACATTCTATTTTATGGGTTTTCAGTGCACTTGACAATAGTTTATTTATTATGTTATCACATTAATATGAATTATATTTCTTGTTATACTCCAATGTTGCGTGATAGTGTATCTGTGATCCTAATATGGTGTTTCTGACTCCCCTCCCTATAATACTCCCATAATGATGTTGTTGTAAATGTCATAATGTGTATCAGGCTATATTCTTCCCCAAAATACATCAGAGGATCAGCATAGTCATTGCTTGCAGAGGTCTTTACTTCCTATTGCATTGAGCCACTCTGCATACAGTGAGTCTGATACAGAATGGAGAGCAGACATCTGCAGCAATCTATTGAAGATTAATCTAAGTCTCATGTCATTAAATAAATGTCACAGTGGCCAAATAATAATGACACACTCTCAAACAACAGTCCTTTAACATGTGGTGTCCAGAGACTTGTTTTAAGGTTGTTGTTGTTGCTGTTTTTTTTTAAAAAAGGTGACAAAATAACTTGCAAGTTGTTTTTCTTGACAAAACGTTTCACAAAGTGACGCCCTCACAACGCGCAGTCGTTCGCTTTTATAGTCGACCCGTTTTTGGAGCCGACGGCATCGTGCTGCTCCTCCTCCTGGGGGAGGGGAGGGGCCAGGCGTAGGGCGGTAGACCTATATATATAGGCCTATAGGAGTTGTGTGCTTACGGACAAGCAACTCATCACCCTCCTGCACGCACACACTAGTCCTGAAGTTACGTTGTCAACGAGTGGTAAACATGGAAGTGAGTTCGTTTATTGTTTTTTTCTAACATGTGGCAGTTAGGAGTGTTCTTGAAGCTGTTAATCGTAATTGCTGTTGATCTATTTAAAAAGAAAATCATTTTCCACCCGTGTTTGCTTTGAAAAATGTTTTAGCCAACTCTAAAGTTAGCAGAATGCATTCTTTTAAAGAGCAATTGTGTGAAGTAAAGTAAAAAACAATTTCTAACTTTTCAATTCTTTTTTTCTTTCAGAGTCACGAGATTGACATGTCATTTGAGTTCTTTTACAACAGTTCTGACAACATCTCAGAGGAGTCTGGAGACTTTGACATAGACCAGGAGCCATGTGGCAGAGCTCTCAGCAACAACTTCAACAAGATCTTCCTACCAACGGTTTACGGAATTATATTTATTCTGGGAATCATTGGCAATGGATTAGTCGTTGTTGTCATGGGCTATCAGAAAAAGGTCAAAACAATGACGGACAAGTACCGGCTCCATCTCTCCGTGGCGGACCTCCTGTTCGTCCTCACGCTGCCCTTCTGGGCCGTGGATGCAGTCAAAACCTGGTACTTTGGGCAATTCCTCTGTGTGTCTGTGCACATGATCTACACAGTGAACCTGTACAGCAGCGTTTTGATTCTCGCCTTCATCAGTCTAGACAGATACTTGGCAGTTGTGCGGGCCACCAACAGCCAAGCCACAAGGAAGCTGCTTGCAAGCAAAGTGATCTATGTGGGTGTGTGGCTGCCTGCAGCTGTGCTGACTGTACCTGACCTGGTGTTTGCCAGGGTGCAAAACAAAGGGTCTTCAAACTTCCTCTTTTCAGACGAAAGCATGGAGATGGCAGACTCCAGGATCATCTGCCAGCGCATCTACCCGCAAGAAACCAGTCTCATATGGACAGTTGTTTTCCGCTTCCAGCACATCCTAGTGGGCTTCATACTGCCCGGTCTGGTCATCCTCATCTGCTACTGCATCATCATCAACAGGCTGTCGCGAGGCACCAAGGGCCAGGCTCTGAAGAGGAAGGCGCTGAAGACCACGATCATCCTCATCCTTTGTTTTTTCTCCTGCTGGCTGCCCTACTGTGTTGGCATCTTTTTTGACAACCTGATGATGCTGAACGTGATCTCTTCCTCTTGTGTAATGCAACAAGCGGTGGAGAAGTGCATTTCTATCACAGAGGCGCTGGCCTATTTTCACTGCTGCCTAAACCCCATCCTCTACGCTTTCCTGGGAGTTAAGTTCAAGAAATCCGCCAAGAGTGCACTGACAGCCAGCAGATCAAGTCAGAAAGTAACTCTCATGACAAAAAAGCGAGGGCCAATTTCATCTGTGTCAACTGAGTCCGAGTCCTCAAGTGTTTTATCAAGTTAACAAACAGTCAAACTGCCTTGATACTCTCAGGAGTGAAAAAAAACAACTAACCTTCAATTTCAAAGAACTTACTACATTTTGTACAGATGTACAAAAAAAGAAAATAAGAGTTTTTGTACTTTTTGATTTGTTCGCCTTGTTTACTGCAATTGTGTTCTTATTGTAATTTGTGCAAGTTTGATGTTCCTCAAAGCAGCTTGTGTCCGCAGGCTGTGCCTCAATTCCATTCACTCAGCTCTACAATCAAGATCCATTTTCTCTGTTTTCATCTTTACAATCTGTTCTGCTGTATCAAAGCTCAGAAAATGCCCTACTCTGTTTTCATGGATGGTAGCTGCTCTTAGAAACCTGTACATAGTTTGTAGAATGTGTGTGTTCGCACTTAAGCTGTGTGATTATCTGAAAGCTATTATTTATTGCTGTCATTCCCACTGGACGTTTTGTAAAAGAACGGAACTGCATGCATGCTGCTTGTTTGTTTTTTTTTACCGTTTTTTATGTGAATAAATAAAAATTTTGTAGTGCTTTTCATAATGTGTGGTGTGCATTTTGACCTAAAACCAACTTCTCCTTCCCTCAGGGGGTGGGGGATGAGGTGTGTGTGTGTTGGAAGGAGGGGATGTGGGGGAGGAGGAAGGAGGGGAGGGGGGGGTCAACCCAAATGTCTCCACCTGATCTGGCTAGAAAGCAGAAGGAGGAAGGACTGAGCAGACAGGCCCTGTAATTTCAAGAACATCTGTGCACTTTTACATCTTAAGCCATGACACAAAACTAAAGTCTTTGGTTATAATTAGCAACCATGTGGCTCCTTAACAAGGAAAATGGCACGTTAAGTTCTCCTTTTATGTCCAGTTTTCTTTCTTTTCAGTTTGCAAGATATACAGACTCTATTATGATTGGCTTGTAAACAAGTATTACCCTCATTCACTTCACAGAGTGGGTCAGTGGGTCAATTTAGCAATTTCCCTGCTCCCAAAACAAAACACAATAGGAGACAGGTTATATATTCTGAAGATGCAAATAGGCAGCTATAGTCTTTGTTTAGCACTCATGCAATATATCATTGGCAATAAATCTGCTGGAATTACATATGAAAAGATAAGACATAAAGTTGACATGTTTCAAACACAGACGCTGACATCAATCTTTTTGTGGGCTCTTCTATCTTCACTACATGCTGGAGATTTCCATCTTGGGTGGACTGGTGACAGGGTGATGGTCAAGTTGGAGACCGAAGGAAGCTGGCAACAATAGATGTCAAGGAGAACGGAGCCGGAAAATGGCCGCAGAGCAATGTAATGCTGGCATCCATTCAAAAACTCCATTGCTTTACATGTAAAAAAGGTGTGAAGTGCCACCATCAGGCCACAAGGTTAATGGGCATTCAGGGGCTCTGGTCTCTCACAGTGCAACAGGATAAAACAAAAGGTGCCTTTTTCAGTTGGAAATGATCTCAGATGTTTCAGAATTAGCATAAGAGCTGCGCTGCCTCCGTCAGCAGGGACAGATCTGTGATTAACACTTCAAGTGTTCAGATGAATGCCCGTCATCAGGAAGGGGTTGTTAGAGGCCTCATGAACATATACTCTATATGCAGTTACATTGTGAACTGATAATAAGTGGGGGTATGGACCTAAATTACATGTGAGATATCCCGAATACTAATGGTTGAAATCTACAGATATTAAGAATTTCTACAAAATAACTGTTGCAAACTCCAATGAAACAAAAGTGTTTGGAAAATATATAGATTAAACTCTAAACCCTTCTTAGCAATTTCCTCTTGAGATATAAAAGGTTTATTTCATCTTATCTTAACCATGATTTGAAACACTGATATAATTTGCTCAAAACAGAGGCTCTGTAAAGACCACAGGGAGGACATGGTTCACAAATACACAACAATATGAAGTAATTTCCTTTGAGTTCATCACATTTTAAAATAATTTGTTTTTATGAATTTTACTGATTATTTTGCTTCTGTGGATGTATTGCATACCACTTTCTAAATACTTAACCATTATCACCATAACAAAAGATAACACTTTCATCCAAAGTGTCAAAAGTACCCACTTGAGTGCACAAACAGTACTCAGGGCCCCTTTGGGAATAAACCCTCGGTTGCAAGAAGGTGTACATTCATAATTAAAGCTTTTGCTCTGCGTAATGAGAACATATTCACTGTCCACAACATTTATTGCCTTCTCCAGACTAACCAGTCTATTTCAGACTTTTTTTACCATGATAATATTCTCATGATACTGTAGCCATCTCTTGCAAAACCTCAACATCAACTTCCTGTGCAAATTTGTTGCAACCTTTCTGCCATCTAAAAGAAACGAATGTGTGTACATTGAAGAAGTGAAGAGTTTCTTGTTTGTTTTGTGGGTTAAAGGGCAAAGCTATTGGAATGGGAAGGAACTGCTTTCCACTGGTGATTCATTACCAGTGTGCATCTAAGTTTCTAGCTGTAATTTGAGACCATTGTCCAGAATCTGCAGGGCCTCATTTAAGTTTTGTTGTTAAGATGTATTAAACTTACGAGTGACAGTATTAATACCAGTAAGTGCAGAGATTGTTTCAAAGGCCTATTGCTAAGGATGGAAGGGGAATAAATACCACAGGTTCCTTTTGGGCAATGACCTGCTCCACTAATGTTTACATTGTTTTGATTGGAAAGTGAGCTGCAGGAAGGCTGTTTCCTGCATCAGGAGCTCCTGTGGCCAACAGCCTGAGAAGAGCTTTGAGGACCCCCTACTGTATTCAAACCACCATCACTTGCTGTGCTCGGCCATTCCCGCAAAGGTCACTGGATACCTGGATGCACTTAGTGCACTCGACCAAAGGCATGGAAGTTCTTTTCACGGAGAGTGTCACTTTTAGTGTTTCAAGTGGGTAGATAAAAACTATGTATGACAAGGCATGGTGGTGTTTGAGTGCATGTTGTTGCTGGTGTGAGTGTTGATTTAGTTACTTCAGATATTTAAAATTTAAAAATATTTTAGACCACAGAGTACGATTTTCTCATGGTGGTCGTTTAGCTATTATATTATTTTTGGCATGTAGGCCTGTAGACACAAACAATTAAATGAATCATACACTGTCAATAGCTTAATGTTTTCCATATGTGCATACCATGCTGTATATACAATATATATCTTTACCTGTACATACTGTACATAATCATCCAGTCCATGCATATCCATCCAGTGTTCTTTATATTATTTGTATTTTTTTTTTACAACTTACAGAACACTTGATCTGTAAATGAACATTTTATTTTAGTTGTTTTGTTGGTCATTGGTGCATTTTATATATATTTACACCTCTTTTTTCTGCCACCTGTGTACATACCCGTCCTGTCAATGCTTTACCTTTATTTGTCCAGCTTTGTTGTCCTTGTTCCTAGCTGTTATTTATATGTATATGTAAGTGCAAGAGAGAGAGAAAAAATTGAATGAAGGCTATGTCCATTTTGTCTTGTTATTCAGATATTTCACTTATCAGACTAGCCTACTTATTTCTAATTAGCATAAAATGATCCCATTTCGCAGCAGCATGTATAACTATGATCTAATTGACCCTGAGATACGGTTAAAGCCATGGCGCTTCCATTATTTTGTCTAGCCCATGAGCAGGCATGACCAAATAAGTTAGTCGGAACTACACTTTAAAGACACTCGTTTCTAGCCGGAACCCAAAGTATCCGGCATTTGGTGCTCCGTCAAAACAAGTCCTTCCTTCTTCCCTGTGCACGTCCATGCTCCAAACAGCTGATGTGGTGCTTCTCTCTCTGCCAAACAGCCGTGAAAACATTTTGTCCTCGTTCTCCAAGAATATAGCTCGACATGACTAAAGAGGAAGCTCAGGGGTAAGAATAGTGGGGGAGTTGTGTGTGTCATCACTAACGTCTCGCAGAGGCGCTTTCACGAGCGAGTGCTAGCAGTACTACGGGTAGTAACTAGCTAGCATTACCTGAACGTGCAGCAGATTGCGTCATCTGACAGTTTAAGTCAAGCCATCATGAAGTTTTTACTCACGTGAACAAAAGGTTTAAATAGCAGCAATATAAAGAGTAACAGAAGATTAGCCCGTACGGATTAGTTAAGTATCCGCTGTTGGGATTTGTTCTCTTTAAACACCGAATTACATGAAAGAGTCTCACAGTTTATGATGGCCTTGCTCAATAAGCGATTTGCCCTTTGATAGATTCAGGTGACAAAACGTTACAAAGTCCCTTAGGTGTCTTGTGATTTCGTCATCTAATAGCTTAATATTAAAAACAATGTCAGCCTTTATATCAAGCCCACTTTGTTCTTTGTTGCAGACTCGAAGCTTGAAGGGGAATGAAGTAATTATGTCAAATAGTGCAAAGATCCATAGTTGATAACTGACTCCTTTATCACCCGGATAACATCTTGAGTCATATTCCAAGATGTTAGTCTGTAGTCTGCACATCCCAACCTGTCGCATTCCACCGCTGTGCTCCTGTCGGTGTCTCCTCTGGTCATGGGGCCAAGTCGAGTTCTGTTTTAAAGTTTGAGTTCTAGACGGGAAGGAATGTTTGAGCTGTCAAATAAGGAAGTCCACCTCAAGTTACTTTAACTTCTTGTCTAAAATGCACTGAGTGACCAGAAACAAATAAATACTGTATGATGAAATTAATAAACTCAAAATGTTTGGCTGGCTAGTTGTAGGACCGCTTAGCTTGCTTTTTAAAGTAAATATCTTGGATGACTCATGCAGGTATTGCTGACAGTTTTCTTTTTTTGTGCAACTGTTCCATCCATTTATTATTTTCATGTTATGTATTCACTCAAGTATCAATATCTGTTATTCAGTTTAGGCAGTTTACCGATTCTCTGTTTATGTTTAACTGTGAAACATATAATCGTGTTTCTGTTCATTTTACAGTTTGAAGAATGGACAACCCCAAAGTTTACGTTTTGATTTGACAGAAGTTTGTAGTTGTTTGGTGATTCAGACCCCTCACTTGCCTGAGTGGGAGCAAGATGGTTGATCCAGTTTAACAAATCCAACAGGTTGGAGGAACATATACACACTAGCCCGAGTGCGTCTTAATCAATCTTTATCTAAAAAGAAATAAGTATTCCTGTTGTTCCTGTGACTACGGGTAGATTAAAGGAATACCTCACCCCCATAATCCTTTATCTACTACTCACACTGTCATGAAGGAAACTTTGTTTGTCCTGAATGCCTCCACGGCCGAACGAAGAATCCAAAAATGGAGAAAATGATTGTTGAATTGAGGTAAATGGGGAACTACATCAAATCATCCGTTTACGAATTCTCACACAACTCGTGCGGTTTAATCCAGGTTTTATTTATCCAATCGTACGCCCAATACTTCCCAAACACATGCATTATTGATATTTAAAATGCCTTATGCATAAACAGTCTCAGGCTTGCACAGGTGCGCTACTCGTCCGTGTGAGAACTGTTTCTGCCAAACTGTTTTAAGTGAAAATTATTCTTCATTCACCTTGGAGGCACGCGAGAAAAACTAAG